TCAGCTCGCCGGCAGCACGAAGTACCCAGACGCCACGAACTCCGAGTATGCCGCCTGTAAGTACCGTTCGATCACTCTCTTGATCGCTTGCTGCGGCGCTACCCGTCTGGATAAGCGACTCTGGCGTCCCACGAAGTCCTCCGACATTTGGGAAGCGAAGACCAAAGGGTTGAGAGCCTCCAAACTTGCATTGGCCCGTTGCAACAGAACCACTGCTGCGTGCTGCAACGTGTGAAGTTTCGGCTGCAAAACGAACAGAGTCCGGCTTTCTTGAAATGCAAAAATCTTTGCAATCTTCGAAGAAAAGCACCATGTTCGTCGTGACACCGCCCTTAAACCACGTCCCGGTCGGAAACTCGGAAGTCGAACCCCGTTGTATGTTGTCCTTGTGGATCTTGCTCATGATTGGCGAGTGACCTGTTCGTTTGCACCAGTCTTTGTACTGAATGGTCACTTGAGCGAAACGTTCCTCCACGTTTCCATCATGCAAGTCGCTTAGGAGCACCAGGGCACTTCCAGAAAAGTTGCGCCCCACTCCCAGGTGCCAATTATGAAAAAGGTCAAACTGGAAAGTGGAAGCGAGTTTGCCAGGAGCATGGGGAATCACTGACGAAGCCGGCGACTGAAGAAATGGTGAAGTGGTAAACAAAGTTCCCATCCAATCCGGTCGCCTTGTAGAAAAACGCTCGAAAGGTAAGGAATCCGGACCGCAGTCGCACCAGTGACAAATACCAGAAGCAACTTGATCAACCCGCTTCACCACATTATTGAAAGTGCGTGTCAAGCCGCCGGCCTTCTGTAAAAACGGCCAATCGCCGACCGTCGACAAGCATGCAATCCAATGACGATCTCCGGTGTTACTCAGCACTCCATCTGAAATCATGGTGCGGGCATCCTCACACGTTGCCCTCAACAAGGCCTGGAAAACCTCGTCATTGTCCTGGTACAAGCGCTTCGGAAGTACGCCTGCGAGCATCCTCGAACAGTAGGTGTGTCCTTTGTAATTCAGCTTCATCTTCAAATAAGGCTTCTTCACGGACTTCCTGTTTGCACTATTCGTACCTCTGCCCAACAGCGAGTGGAACGACAATACCATAAAGGCCTGTCTTCGTCGTCCTCGTCCTTCGTCGCCGTGTAGGACAACAGCCGCTGTGCGACTGAGGTCGATCTGGTTGCTTCGCGCCATCGCAAAAACGGGGTGAGCCGGTTCAAGAGTTTCGTAGGCCTTCCAGAATGCTGTCCATATGCATCTTTCACGTTTGGCATCAGGCTTCAAAAGGCCCGCAAGAATATGCCATGTGTTCGTTTTCAGCAGAAGGGAAGCCCAGTCAACGAGGGACAGCCTCTGAATTTCCAAATGCGTTGTATCAGAATCTTCGCACTCTTCGCTTGTCACCGAAATTGTCCGAATTGGAATATCAAGAGCTAAACCCAGCCGCTTCGACAATACAGAATGAGCATCCCTTTCAGGGTTCTTTGTCGAGCACTTCGAAAGCCGGAGCAGCCCACCTATCTCGCCAGCCTTCTCCTCACCCAGATCCTTGACGACTGCTTGCGCAGTCCGGATGGCTCTCGTGCAGGAAGCCTGGGCGGGCACAGAAATGTTTTCGAACAGCTCGTTCCAGATAAACACAGTTGAGGCTGGCATACTGCTGCAAACTGACATGTGCTAATGTTCTAAATTGCAGAACATTCGCTGAAACGGATGCATGCAGAAATCATTTTCGTTCCCCGAAGCACAAGGTAAAGCTTGCCCCGGTCGCACATTGGATCGGCTTTACAAAACTCAAGACACAAACCTTGTCGGAGGGGGATACTTGAAAGATCTGTACACGACATATGTCATGAAGCGATCTTCTGCTCGAGGCATGGATGTTTGAACAGTATCGCCACCGGCTCTAACATTCCTGCACCCCGCTCGACCTGACATGCGAACTTCACACAAACGAGGCAATCTTTACTTCTAACTATCGGTATATATACATACTAAACAGAGAAAAGGAAACATGATGAAGATGCAGGCATGATGCTACGGAACTTATCTATAAGGGCGGACTCCAGCATTGCCGGGCTGAACGGTTCATTTGTCTTGAAAAGGACGACCATACACGTCCATTTGTCCCGAGACTTTGCATAGCCGTACAAGTCGTTCGACCAGCGAAAATCAGCATTGTGCGTGTACCCAATCTTCCATATCATCGGTTCGTGTTTCCGGAAAAGCTTTTCCATAGTAACAATCGCATGTTGCAAAACTTTACCCGCCGAACAGCCGACTGGAGGCAGATTGTACACGATTGGATTGTCCGAACCACCTGTGCTGTTGTCGTAAATGCTCGTGATGCTGATGCTGGTAGCTGCAGCCAAATCTACCTTGGAATCCAGTCGGGTCTGGTACTCCTGCCCGACTGGGCAAGGTTTTGTAGCTCCTTTGGGATCATCGCTTTTGCTCGCAGCTGTTGCGGTTGTCCACGGGAACGGAACCACGTCGTCCTAAATGATGCTGGCTTATACTTATGTACAACTTCAAACCGCCTTCATAATTTATGTAGAATCGAAACGAACAAGAAGTTGCTACCATTGGGTTTGGACTCCTTGCGGTGGCACGTCAGCAGATCTAGCAGCTCATCTTCGGGGCTCTCGACTAGATCAGGGCACTCATGCATCGAGGCAACTTCTGTACCTACTATTGGCAATGCCCTCAGAGCCCAGAACCACTAGACAGATCAAGATGCAGAATGAATTGCATCAGCACACAACCAAGACAGCTCAGCCTGCCATATAATTAAAGCGCTGCTGCCGACGACTGCTGAGCCGCCTACGCCTTCGCCAATATCTCGGGAGAGGCCACGAACGAAGTGCCCAGCTGAAGGACCTGGCATTGTTTTTCTACGGCAATTGGGATCTTAAGCCATTTGTTTGAGACTTGGTTCTATTTCTGTTTTGTGCTTCGAGAAGGATTTATGTTGATATCGATCGACGGAGAATCTGTCATACAAAGCTTGATTGCCACACCGATGGAAAGTGCACAGTTTGCTTATGGAACATGTTGGGGGTTTGGGTTACTTGGGGCTTTCGGTATGAAGTCTTTGGCTTCAGAATTACCACACGGACACATGATGAGATGGCCTGGTAGGAACTTCGGTTGGACACTTGGGTTGGGTAATATAAACACGGGAACCACAGGGTAACTGTGCTTATGTTAGTATAATGGGTACATATATAGAGCGACCCTGTCAGAAAAGTCACTGAATGGGTGCCTCCATCGAACCGTTAAACCCAAAACCTTAAACTTAAAGCTCCACCCTCTGAATACATTCAGCTGCATACCAGAAGCCCCAGCTGTTGGAGTTTAAAAATTAAAACACAACCGGAGTTTTAGCGCTTGGGTTCTCAAAGGATCAAGGGCTGCTCTTTCTGATTAGGTTGTTTTACAAAGTGTTGGGGTTTCGGTCTCTGGCTTTAAGTTCAGGTTTATAGAAGGTGGGCACAACCCAGATCTTATGCCTGTATAATCAAAGCATCTACAGCAAGCGAACCAACCATTTTCATCATCAACTCCTTGTCTCCCCAGCAGCCGTCTCAAGCTAATTGCATGTTGCTGGAGCAAAGGAAGCCGCCTTGGATTTGTGGCACAAACCACAACAACAAGCTTCGAACATCGCGAGCTTTGCTCGCTCGAATCTCCAGCTCACCCCTGCATGCCCTGAACTCCGAGGCATCCATCTGATCTACTTCTTTGCCTTGGCCTTTGCCTTTTTGGGTGGCCGAGACTTGTCACTTGAATCTTCAGCCTTAGTCTTGCCGTTCGACTTTGCCGGGGCTGAATCGTCAACCTTGTCGTAGAACTTCTTCGCAGTCCTGCAACCAGCTGGCTTCAAAAGGATTCATCTAGTTTAATCTAGCTTCAGGCCAACAGAGTCCTGATCTTCATCTCGGTTGATGCAGCTCGTGAGCACCTTAACTTCGCACCGACATGATTTGGGGCATGACATGGTGGCAACTTCGCAGGCTTAGACCAGAGACCGTACAATGTGTATGTTGAGTTCAGCACACTGGGGTCGCATCCTTGATGCATTTCTGGCTTGCATTGTAAAACCTTCGTGTGCCAATCGAATGGGTTGTAAGGGCACACAAAAGTCTTGTCGGAGCATCGAGAAGAACCTTGAACAACTAGTGATATTAATGCATGTCAAAAGACTCCTCGTTCAAGCACATGTCAGCTTTCAGCTTGGCGTCCTGGCATTTGTCGTAGTGGCTCTCCATGTTCTTGATGTCCACTTCGAGGCTTGTCACACTCCTGGGTTTGCAGGGTTTAGGTTTATGTGTTCGGGGTGTATCATGTTTATATAAAGCTATATTGGCCGAAGGGCTTTTCGCTGTCTTTGTACTTGGTCTTCAGCTCACGTACCAAAGAGCGTAGTTTGCTGATTCTGCTCATCATGGATTCCATGAACTTCTCCAGCGCCTCCTTTTCCTTAGGCACGTGTGGTTCGGGTTTTAATTGAGGCTTCGACAGGAACGAGTTCACGAATTAAGGCTTTATTGCGAGCAGCCGTGGTATACTTGTGAACATGTGGGTCCACTGGGGCGCCCTTCTTCGGAGACGAGTTCTCCAGAGCCGCATAGCCGTTGATTGCACCAAAACCATTCAGGTTTTCCATCTTCGGCATCTCCTTCACCTGGGTCAAGGAGCTGCACCACTTCTAGAAACGATACCTGGCTAGCAACATGATTTTCTTTATGGGTGCATTTCAAGGGGCATCCTTCTGCTCACGGTGGCACTCAGAATATTCGGCACTGGATTTGCGTTTGCCGGATTCTCTGATGCGAACCCAGTACTCCAACTCGCCGTCATACTGGTTCTTTCTGGCACAGGGAATGCAACAACGACGGAGGTTTGCAGATTCAGACACTCATGCCCGCCTGATGTGGGTTTTGGCTTTGAGCTCGCAATCCTGAATGGCACCCTTGATCTTTTGCCTGAGAATATGGCTGGCTTGGGGTCTTTTGGAGGCAATCTGGGTCTATAATGGCTTATTATGATTTCTAAGATAAGAAGGCCTAATTTTCACGAGGCTCGATAAAGATTGAATCCAGGAGGCTCCGACCAGCCGTGGTCATCTGCCATCTCTTGGCGAGTAAGCCAAGACTCTTCTATCACCAAGTCAACACTGTTCTTGCGCGTGACCACGATTTCGAGTCGGGCCATGAACTTTTCCTGGGCAGTTGAGGGTTGGGTTGGGGTTTATGCAATGTACCAGGTCCAGAACAGGAACATGAAGAGTCAATGCAAGCGAATCACTTTATCAAAGTTCTCCTCTTGGAGAACTCTTGCGATGCTCGTTTTGTTTCCGGTCTGCCATTCCTTGACCAACCACGTCGGCGCCTGCAAATCCTTGCGTCTTGACTTCTCCTGGCACATTCGGTTGATTCTCGCCTTCGCCGCCCGCAAGAGCTTCTCCTGGAGTGAGGTTGCGATGGGTGTTTTGTTTTGCGTGCATTAAGACAAGAAAACAAACAGCAAGCAATGAACAAGTGATGCGATGTGTGCACGGAACATGCAACGTAAAGCACCTGCCGGGTTGGCGCTTTCTTCGGCTTGTTGGCTGGCTCATCGGTTTCCTCCTCTTTCACAAGGGTCTCGTGCGTGTCGGCGCACGTCGCATCGTCGTGCTCGTCGTCACTCATGCCACCGGCTACCATGCTCGTGAACAGCCGAAGAAGATCGTCTGGAGAAGCCTCAACAATCCAAGTGCCACAACAGCTATTCGAAGATACACTTGATTCTGATTCTCGACAAAAGTAGACAAGAAGCATGGTCCATTGCTTCTTCGTCGCTCTCGCTATCCTGTAGCAAAGGAGCATAGGGCTTTCAGTTCAGCAACGAAGCCCTTCGTGCGCAACCAACATGGAATTCGGAATGGAAACTCACTGAAAATCTATACGAGAACACTGTCCTGCACCAGATAGGGATCGGCAACCGTGGGCTCCTCGACCTCGTTCGGCTCATCACCTTCAAAGGGAAGTTCACCCATACGTAGGGGGCTTGGGGTAGCTTCCACGACGGGCTCAGGTTCTCGGCAAAGCCCAGCTTTCAAGATATCATCGAACGGCACCTTAACAGTGAGAGGTACAAGTATGGCTTTTAAGGCACCCATATAGAGCCTAGCATGGGTCATCTACATTGATCAGTCGAACTCAGGACTTCACTTCGAGGGTGGCAGCTTCTGGCTCTTCCGGTGCAAGGAGAGCTTCGGCCTCAAGGCATGGTTTATTTAGGGATTTGTGGAGGCATGGGATCAGGGTTTGTAGGGTTGCAGGTTTACAAGGCTAATGTGGGTTTGTAAGGCCCGAACAGCATCAGCCTCCAGCTGCTTTTGCAAATCCTGAGGATTCTCTAACAACGGGAGGTGGTAGCTACAGGCAAGCAACAAGGAGCATAGCACATCGCCCATTCGGGGTCCTCGAGTTCAAGCAGCAAGGCTTCGTCGCCAGGTTGCGCAGAGTCATTGTCAACAGTCTCGATACCGGACTCAAAAGATCCACAGCTCCAAAGCTTACTAACAGCGGGTGCCACCATGGCTCCACACTCGGACAGCCAAACCTAAAGTAGCAACAAAACCCTCGATCCAGAGCAACCATCAACCATCCAACGAGTATGCATACCTTCGGCTCACAGCACCAACTACATATTTGGCTGGGACACACAGCTTGCTTTGTCAGGTCGGAGTGATCACAGATCCGGCGCTTTGCTGTGGGCAGCTCACACAGCAATCTGATTCGGTGAACTAATTAGCAAAGGGTTCCTCCAATAGCCCCAACAAGAAGCGTATATATACCCTTAATATTCACGAAATAGCACAAACAAAAAGCGCATAGACCCCTTAAATTTATGTTAAGTAGCAGCTATGTCAGACCCCGGGTTTACCCATGACGCCGTCACGCTTTAAACACGGGTCTGGCATGGGTAAATCACGGGTCTGGCACGGGTTGCCCAAACCCGGGGTTTGCCACAAAAGTCGGGTGTCTGTACGGGAACACGGGTTTTGTAATATACAGACCCCGGGTTTGTAGGTGCAGATCACGGGTCTGGCACGTGTAAACCCCGGGTTTGGTAGGGTTTGCGGGCCCCAGGCGCATATGTTTGTATTCAAAACCTACCAAAAGTTGTAATAATTGCGTAAAACCCTCCAATCCCGCACAAAACCTTCAAAAACCATCCAATCCCGCATAACTGCGTAAGCCCTTACCTGTCCTGTTTTGGGATTACCTTAAGGTATTAGTACTCAAGGACCCAAGACCCGCAAAACCCCAAAGCCGGCCCTCCAAAGCTACTTTTAGAGCTACGATCGGCCTAGAGGAACCCTGGAGGCAGCACGGCCCGCCAGCTAGATGGGATTTGGAGGTTTTTGCCGCCCCTCAGATAGTTGTACACTTTGGAAACAGCAGCACAACTAAACTCATCCCGGCCATACTCCGAAGGAAGGCTTCCTACCATCTCTTGACCCGACGGAAGGTTGCCAGGCAAAGGCGGTAAGCCCCCACGATGCTCCTTCAGGTCGGCCAACAAGCGAAGGATCTCCTTCGCGAAGGCCACAGGGTATCGCCTGGGATCAGAATATTTGAGATGATTGATCTATTTATGAAACCCTAAACCCCTAAACAGCTAAACCCCTAAACCACGTGGGCACCAATATAAATTTTGGGTTTACATTCTCGAGCCACACCGATAATGAACCAAAGGAAGAATATATATATAGATATATATATTACATTGCGGCACGGACACACCCAAACATGGACTCATATAAAGATGCCTTTTCGAGTGCTGTATTAGCATGAACATGTCTTCGCAATCGTGCCTATATATATATGTGGGGTATATATACTGCACACAAACATGCATGCATGCATATATAGTGCAACTCGGCAATTGTGAGATATAAGTGTGTTAAGTTGAGTCTAAGGGTGTATGTTTGCTTACGGTTCTGGACACCCCGCTGGGGTATGCCCGAGCCCGGCACGAGTATGAAAGGCTTAGCTTCGAAAGATCTAGATACCTATAGGGGGTAGGGGTCTATATAATCCTATACAGATCGACAGGTTTTTCTCGCTATATAGCTCTGGTGCCCCGCAATCCCCGTAAGCATTCTTACGACCCCCGTACAACACCACCTGCATAAAAAAAAACCCTGATAAGGTTTTCTGTTGGAGGTCGGAGTATTAAACACCATAGATTTTTCAGGGTGGCATCGTGTTTGCTACTTCTACTACGGTTGCATACATGCTGACGAGAAACTCTGTGGCCTGCAAAGCCTGGGTACCCTGGTACTTTTCCCTGCCGTCCTTTCCCATGTATCGCTTGACGGTGCTTGATCTCCGGCGTGGTGCTTTCCTTAAGGACAACCTTCCTTTGTTCAGCCGACCCACCACACAGGAATTGGAGTACATCCAGTGTCGCTTCGGTGTCTTCGACATATAGTGTGCCATCCAGAAGGAAACCTTGCTGACCTTAAATCCCCGGCGGCACCCTACACACGAACCGACGACTAACCTCACTGCTACATGACCTGGTCAGAGTGTAAGGCGTGGACTGCATAAGGTCCGACAACATCACACATTCTAGCCACTAGCCATCGCCAGGCAGGGTAGAACTCAAGCACCGAACCAGCTGGCTGCTCTACAGTCCAAACCAGCTCCAAGCAGGTGCACAGCAGAACGAGCAGCGTGGTCCTTTGGGGCAGCGGATGGCTTCACTGTGGTTTCGGGGCACAGCTGCAAATGGCTTGTGGGAATGATTGTCAGCGGTCCGTTCGAGCAGTTGGTTCGTGTAGAGCACAGAAGGGCAACTTGTCCGTCCAGTCGATGCACATGCACTTCGGCCGCTCGTGCCCATATTCATGGAGCATAGAGAACTGCATTTCATTCCAAAATGGACATACCCATCGGCCGGAGTCATCCGAAGCAAGTAGCAGATGGCAAGACTTAGTCGCGAGTGCAGTTGGGATCCAAGGACATGACGATTACACCGACCTATACACGACAACTGCCCTTCTGAAGTCCAATTCAATCCAAGGCTCCAGAAGCCACTCGTGCTATTCAAGTCCATATAGTTAGACTTTCGACGCTTTCGGGAAGTATGATCTTTCAAGTCGAATCGGGCCGACTTCAGGCGGCCAAGGAATCTCATTACTCGGTGTAGATTACCATGCCCAGCGAAGAACTCGATGAATTTGTAGTCCTAGATGCAGGTACTATGGAATTTAGCATTTCGCTGTATTAAGTGCAATGCCACACCAGCCCCGATCTCAAGCCTGGGTCATCTTCTCCGGGTCCACAGTCCATGCCACGAGCAAAACCGTCAGGATGAAGTCCTCGGGGTGGTTTCGTAGGCTTTATCTAGGGCCAGGGTCTATCGGGCTCCGGGATTAGGGTTTACAGGGGTTTTTAAGGTTTGTAAAGGGTTTACATAGCCGGGTTGGGGTGTGTCGGGGATGGTCTCCTTCGGTGCTTGCAGTTGCAGCAGCCGCCAGCAAAGGACATTCAAATCCAGCATCGTGGAGAATGTGCCGGGCTACTCGAGACGAGGATCTTATTCCGGGTCTTCATGGACAGTTTAAGGTTCTACAAGGGGTTTATTCCTAAGGTTTGGGGTTCAGCCTATATGCGAAGTCCAGTCTTCATTGCTAGCTGCTAGACATCGATACACAGTGTCACGGCTTGCTGGTGTTACTGTTACTGTACCCAATCTACTAAGATACCTCGAACAAGCTTGCAAAAGGCTGCACAGATCGATCGGTTTGAAGCGGGCAGTGCACTCGGGCACTGCATTTCAAGTCCTGCATGCACCGGATGCAACACAAGCCGGGTTGACGGCCTGTCGCATCTCGCTTCTGAGCCAGACGGGCCTTCCAGAGGACGTTGCGCGGCAAGAGCGGCATGAGTGGTCGGACCTGGGCGACAAATTATTTCTATATGCAACGATGGGTGTAGATTTTGAAAGCTCGTTGGGATTCTCCATTGGGGATTTCAGGATTGACACTGAAGCAAGCAGTGAGTACCGCTATCATGGACAACACGAGACTGAGCAGACCCTCATAAAGCTGCTGTTGCTGAACCGGGGCAATCTGAGGCTTTTCTTCCCTTCATGAAGCGGCGGCGCAGCGCACGACGATATGCAGATCAGATGCACCGAGGACCCGGTCTGGATCGATAAGGCTAAAACCGCATTTGGGAAGATTGGTCATTGTACACTGATAGAGCAGGGTTCGGGTCTTTCAAGTAGGAGGCAGCTTTTCTACACATATCATTCAGACGCAGTGTCCTTGGAGCACATGATCTCGGTGAAGCAGAGCTAGCTAGCCGAGATTTATGCACGACTCAATCTGTCGGACCTTCACATCATTTTCAGGGTCTGCACGAAATTAATGTTAAGTCCATTAAATCAACCCCCAGACTGCCAGATATACATACATATTTCCGCTGAAGGTCACCGGGATCGGAACCATCACCCAAGCGATGCTGCACTAAGGCCATGTGCACAACACATCGACCTCCCTCCACAAGTCCGTCTGAACTTGTACACCCGTCGATGCAAAGCACGAGCAGCCAAGCAGCATTCTGCTACCCGGTAAATCAGATTATGACGTGTCAACGTCCAGGTTCTAGCTCATGCGATTGCGGAGATCACAGCTTTTTTCAGGAACTCCTTCATCTCAAAAATGTCGTAACTCTCAGTCATGGCCGTGGCGGTGTCTTCGACATAACCGTCCTTGATCAAGCCTTCGATGTATGCTGCATACAACGAGGCTGCCTTGCCCAAAGCCGCCATCTTGGCAGCCCAAGTTGCCTCAATCTTCCCAATTGAGACCTGGCCTATCTCAATGCCAGTCGTTCTGTGCAAGAGGCCCACAGCTGGCCGCGTCCAGTACATGGTCATACCAAACAATTGCGAGTCATCCACCCGGGCCTTCAGATCCGCTTTGAACTGCGAGCAGAGCATTCCGTCCTTGAAGTCCGCCTCCTGGGTGAAGTCGGCAATGATCTTCGTGACCTCGTCCTGGCTGTCCACGTACAGGTACCACCAAAGTCCGTCCTCCAAGCTGAGAGCTCTGCTATCTTCGCACGGCGGAGCCCTTCTGCCCCTACAGGTTGTCTTGCCCGGCGGAGGATCCCGCTTTGGCTTTGCCCCACACTTCGCCTTCGGCTTTGCTTTCGCCTTCGGCTTACCGTCACCCTTGGCCGTCTTGGCTTTCGCCTTGGCTTTCGCCTTCGCTTTCGCCTTCGCTTTGGCTTTCGGCGCACACTTCGCCTTTGCCCCACACTTCGCCTTCGCCTTTGCCTTTGCTTTTCCCTTTCCTTTGCCTTTCGGCTTCGGCGCCGACTCCGGCACCGCCTCTGCCTCCGCCTCCTCAGCTTCTGGCTCTTCGTCCTTCTCCGCCACCTCGCCACGAGAAGAGCTGCGCAGCAATCGTCGTCGCCGTTTGGACGGCGAAAGCGCGGCACACTTCGAATGCCCATTGCCCTTCTTGGCGGCACGCTTCTTCTTGGTGCTCCGCCGCCCAGGTCGCCGCCCGTCTTTCTGGTTAGACTTCAATCGAAACTGGTCCCTCTTGGTCAGCGGAGGAATGTCCACCTAGGGGTTGCGAGAAAAGAATGGATTCCCAAAATAGCCTTATAGATTTAAGTGCTCTCAGAAATATCAGGCACAAACCTTTCTTAAGATAGGGTATGCTGGATTGGATGAGTCTTGCTTCGGATAGCTTGGGCTTGTGTGGATTGTAGGACAAACCAGGCAACCCTAGAAAAAAACCGTGAACCTTTCACTATATATATAGCAGAATCACACGACCAACTCTTATGTACTCTGTAGGAATCTGGCCTCTTCGTTGCTCTCCGTAAACTCGGCAGGAGCTTTCGCCGCTGCTTCCAGCGAGTCTTCTGGGGTAGGCTCGGAAGGGATGTTCTGGAGCGAAGCTTCCATGACGTTCCAAGGTTGCGTATCATCGGAACCAGGATTCGAACTGAAGGAAGAGTGTCCTTAGCAGAGGGATCGGGTGGGTGCTTCCTAGATCGATGCAGTATCTCAATGAATGCTCGTAAGAAAATGCCGGCCAAAATTCCGCTGGTTGGTGGAGCCTCCAAAGGCTCGGGCGTCGGAGGCGGTGAAGTCTTCCTAAGGAAACCCAGATCGACCCCGCCATCATACCGAGAGCATCTCAAGTCAAATCAACACTTGATTTCCGGACACTAGCAGAGACAAGGCTCATAGAAGCTTGTGCAAGCTTCTGCTTCAGCAAAGCAACCCTGGCCTCCATCGCAGCACGATCTGCAGCAGAAAGCCGAATGCCTGAATGGAATTTCGGATCATTTGTTTAATGCTCAACTACAAGAACCCCCAATCATAATACCCTGCAGTGGTAGCTCCTGCGCGTGGAGGTCCGGATGGGGGCGTTGGCGTGAAAGCTGGCTTGCTCTTCAGCTGGCCAATAGGAGTGCATGGGGGCGAGCTAAGCGCCTTTCCAGGGCAGGAATAAATTCGGGTTATACAAGCGCTTTTACTAGGATTGGTTAGGATTGCCAAATACCGGGCCTCAGATGTTGCCGAGAAAGCCCTTTTAAGAGTAGCGGCTGGAGGCCCTGAGGATTCCGGTGTCGTGATAGCTGGAGCCAAAAGCCTTGAAGATTCCGGCGTCGTGGTAGCAGCTAGGGTCAAGGGCCTCGAGGATTCCGGTGTCGTCGTAGCTGGGGCTATGGGCCTCGAGGATTCCGGTGTCGTCGTAGCTGGGGCTATGGGCCTTGAGGATTCCGGTGTCGTGGTAGCTGGAGCTAAAGGCGTTGAGGATTCCGGCGTCGGGGTAGCAGCTGGGGCCAAGGGCCTTGAGGATTCCGTTGTCGTAGCTGGGGCTAAGGGCCTTGAGGATTCAGGCGTCGTGGCAGAAGCTGGTGTCAAGGGAATTGAGGATTCCGGTGTCGTACTAGCTGGGGCTACCAACCTCAAAGTAGATCTCACCGGTGGATTGTCATTGGGAGCAACTTCAGGGCTTATGGATGACGATGCAGGGCCGGTCGTTTCGGGGTTGGCATCTTCATCGTCGTAAGCATCCTCGTCCTCGCCGTCTTCCTGCGAAGCGGGTCTGATTAGGGTTTATAAAGGGTTTAGGGTTTTATAGGGTTTAAGGTCAGGAATATCTGGCACATATAATCAACGAACCCAGCATGATTGTGTATATACAGTCCTCGCCGTCGTAGGATGCTGCACTCCGATTCCGCATAGAATCCACAATCTCCTGGATAGAACTGTGTAGATTACTTCGTTGTCGATAAAAAAACACTCAATTCCGAAACGTCCTGAAGCCCGGGCTCCAATGCCAAGCACAGCTCCTGAAAGTCTTCGTCCTGGGTTCGGCACGAGAAAAGAGGGTTTCTGGAGCTCTATACACAAGAAAGACGTCAGAGGTTTCTTTGATTTCTTTGGATTATTTGTTGATAATTCGGCCAAGTTTCTAGGCTGACCTCATGTCTGCGCACTTTAGCCTTGACATGGGAGAGCAGCTTCCTTATGTGAATTGCGTCGCCAGCGACAGAAGCCTGAACTTCGTCACCAACTCGGTTGTTGGATCGGTAAATGATCTGCATCTCGTTACGCAAATCACCCAAGGAAGGGAGCTTGCGCTCCGCCGAAGAAGCCATGCCCATCAATATGGGCTCCAGCACGGATCGATTGAGCTTGCAGACATGATTGTCACATGAAAGCCCCGACTTTTCATGTAGGAGCATCCCGCCCCCCCGCAGCCGGGTTCGGATTGACATGTCACCATCCCATGCCATATGCATGTCGGTGATATCCAATCCTTTTTCGTTTGCCTCGCCTGCAAAAGCCTTCGCCTTGGCCTTCGGAGCCATGGCAAAAACCCCCAGCCCTGTAAAACCAGACTTTGAGTGCTAAAAGCTACAACGGTTGATGGACGTTCACAATGGATCTCGCCGCATGGTCTGACCAACAAATCCCTGTCAGGAGCTGGAGCTCTGAGGACTCGGCAAGTCAGGTCGATCAGGAAAAAAGTCGCGCCATCCAAGGAGTCGGCAGGCTTATAGGCTTATCGAGGGATGTTCAGGATTTGGGGATATTAGACCCAGCTGTGTTCGCTAAGAATATAGACCCGTTGGGTTGAATATCTGAAGCTTCTCAAATCAATCTGAATCATGATGGGCCCTCGTCCTGCAGCCGCCCACAGCGGTCTCACGGCAAGGACGTGCATTCAGCACGATCACAAACAACCCCTCTCAATGCAACGATCTTTCAGAATGAGCCCCAAACCCGAGGTTTGAAGATCACACACGGGGTCTACAGCATAAGCCATCCCAAACCCCGGGTGCTTTCGCAGAACCGCTTATTTAGTCGGCGTGCGAGGGGCAAGGTATGCCTAAATCATCCTAAATCCCAAACCCACCCGAAAATGGTCTTGAACAGCGGGGTGCTGAGGACGCTTTCAGTAGGTACAGAATCTTCCGGTGGTGAGTCTAAGATGTGGGTTCGTTGTCCCGGCGCCGTTCACCCGGTACATATGCTGCAGAAAGCCTACGAAATCGAGTTCTGTCACGCGTTTTGCTTGAATTCCGTGCCTGTGACGATGCATACAACGTCAACGAGGCGTCTGTCCTGTACTGTGCGGATCTGTACGGTATGGTTACCGGTATGGGTATGGGCCCGGTATGGGGTTACAGGGGTAGGGTATGGCATAACATGGTGTCGCAAACATGATTACAGATGTAAGTGTAAGCACGAACATGCACTGCATGTGTGCATGCATGCATGCAAGCATGCAGGTATGCATGTATGCATGCATGCATGTGTGTGCATGTGCGCATGCATGCTGTCTGTTGTCTGTCTGTCTGTCTGCCTCTGTCTGTCTGTGTCTGTCCGTCTGTCTGTCTGTCTGTCTGTCTGTCTGACTGACTGACTGACTGTCTGTCTGTCTGCCTGTCTGTGTCTGTCTGTGTCTGTCTGTGTCTGTCTGTGTCTGTCTGTGTCTGTCTGTGTCCGTCTGTGTCTGTCTGTGTCTGTCTGTGTCTGTCTGTGTCTGTCTGTGTCTGTCTGTGTCTGTCTGTGTCTGTCTGTGTCTGTCTCTGTCTCTCTGTCTGTCTGTCTGTCTGTCTGTCTGCCTGCCTGCCTGCCTGCCTGTCTGTCTGTCTGTCTGTTATATATACACTCCAGATGCCCGTGCCTGCACCACAGACGTAGCTAGGTATACGGTATACCGGGTGTATCCAGTCTATCACGCGCAGTCCTCCAAGGTGCTGACAGCAGCCGCACAGATCGAGTACGTCCTTCCGTCGGATGTGTGGCCTGGCCCCTTTAGTGAGGGCAGTGGTTGAGGGACGTTCGTACCAGATGATTATAATGATAAGACTGTAATTGCAATATCATCTACAGTATATGTCTATATATATATATATATCTATATATATATATATATAATGGGGTTAAGTTTAGTGAGGTGAATGATCGACAGCTGCAGCCTGGAGGCAGAAACAATACTGGAGTATGATCCTGGTGAACAGCGCCAAGATCGTCGAGGTGCGGTTGTAACTTGCCGGTTGTGGCATAAGGGTTGATGCGATTCACGGCTTACCCTGTACGACACCCTCTGATATCTAGGGGCTACAGCCCTAAATCAACCCCGCACGCCCAGCAAACTTTGTTATCCTGAAGCGTCGAGGCCGAACTGAACTGCCGACTTCCCGTTGCAGTGCTACGCAGCTCCCAAATAAGAAAAACAAATTGGGGGGGAGCTTCGTGCCCCGAAGGAGTTCATGCGACAGAGGAAGCCACGATTACATAGCTGCGCATTTCTATTTCCATGAAGTGCTGCCTTGGTTAAGGCAGCTGACTCCCAGGCTCCTTGTGGAATTGTCACGAAGTGTCTCGCAGCTTCATGAGCCTGAGTCTACAAACGGCATGTCCTTACGGATGCTTCCCTTTGGATCCGGTAGCAGATTTCGTAGCCCCAAACCTAAACATTTTGGACCCTACAAAACCAAAGACCTTCAAGATCACAAGACCTTACAAGCAATCCGTGGCAGCCCAGAGGCACCTTCCTTCATTGCCGCCCACGGCTCCATCATCGCACGAGACCCTTCGCATCAACTTAGGGGGTTAGGATCGACTGCCCCAAGCCAGTACCCAATGCAGGAGAGCCTTGTCAAGCGGTCCCAGGCTTTTTTTTGTGATTCGCCAAAATCCAACAGCCGATCGGGTTTGCAATTAACGAGTAAAGGGCAGATTTTTCGGTTTTCGATATCCCGCCATCGGATATTTAACCGTTGGATGTATAGGGTTTGCGCAGCGCTTACCATGAGTTCAGGAGTCGGTCGGGCCTTGCCTTCACAAGCTTCTGCAAGGTGGTCCAGATGGACGAGTTCGACGTCAAAGAGGAACGACCCTAGGCTCAACTGAACCCTCAGTTCATGCCCTGAAGCCTTCAACCCGAAGCACCTGCTTTTTGAAGCACTGCGGTTTGAGGGAGAGGGACCAAGAACACGTGAAAATGTTTACAGAAGCGATTTGGGCCGGCATTAGAGGTTGAGCCCTAGACGTCGAGACTCTTAAATCCCGACCGCAATGCCAAAATGCCTCGCCTGACGGATCTTTGCAGCCCCCTGCCCCTGCAACATGCTACCTGCAGTCTGCATTCTGGTTCCCGTTTTTGCCTTCTTCTTTCTTTGTTGTTATCGGCTCTGTAAAAAACGGGCCTGGAACTGAGATCAGTTGTCCAAATCAGGGTACTGCAGTGGAGACTGCAGCTAGTATTCCCGCCGCTTGGGCTCCGCTGCGATTTGCGGAGACCACGACCCCAAAGTGTTGGTGCCTCCTAATCCGCAGAAGCACAGGTCTTTGGTCTCGACTGGTGCAGTGGGCAGAGAGGGCTGTTGAGGCCTGTTCCGACGGTTGACTGAAACGGGTTCCGGTGTAACTAGGGTCCGCAATCCATCCCAGGTCGGTAGGTTTGAAGATGCACAGGCGAGCTCGCACGACATCCCACATCATAAACTGTTCGCTGCGCCGTGGCAGCGTAGCAAGCACTCTGCAGTTCTCTGTCTCTAAAGAAGGGCCTCTGTTTTTGCTCGGCCGAAATTTCCAAAGAGTCCCCCCAAGAAGGAGACGCTCCTCCTTGGGCCCTTCGCAGATGCCATCGACGCTCCAGCCGCGAAGCGGCCCCGTGCACCTGGGACTACCAGCATTCTTTAGGAGCTACTGCAAGGTTACTATAAGAATACTATTAATTCTAATAATATACTAATAATACCAATAATAAGAACGGGTGATTATAGGTGGGGCTCTATGAGCTCTGCATAAGGGCTATAATTTCTGTGGGGGCATGGTTTTCAGGTTGGCAGCCTGGGAGTTTTTTGGGGCATCACCTAGACCTAGACCCTGTGTCAGGGTTTACTCTTGGTTCCAGTTACCTACGGTTATATATTTCGAAGATACCTCCCTCTATAATGCAAGAGCTCAGAATCTTCTGCGTTGCAGGGATGGGGGCTAGAGTGGGCTTTGAGGTCTAAAAGGTGGATGCTTTCTTGGGCCCTCAGACTCCGAATCGGTTTTGGATTGTATCGTGTCCGCCCGAGATAGAGTACACCTAGGAAAAAGCAGCGATACTAATGTTAGTTACACTGCTATATACTAGTAACAATGTAGTTGCCATATTTGTCATGATGACATGAGGCTGGTAGGAAGGCAGCTCGATGGTTTTGTACCGGTTGGAGTAGCATCTCGGACCTGTGTGAGATTCTGACACTTGCAGCAACTAGCATTTCTAGTAGTTCTTCTCATCCGCATTTTCCTCATCGGCTGTTCCGAGCCGTGGTTTGCTCTTTGTGTATTGTCTCACAGAAAGCACCGCACCGCCCTTTCCTGATTCCTGGAAAATCCCAGCACCAAGCAACGCTGCAATGAAGCAGGAACCCCTTAAGACCCTAAACGGCTGCGTTGCGACCGGTTCAGCCCTTCGAAACCACCCAGTGCCAGCCCGAGGGCGAGGAAGGACCGAAGAGCGAGCGCAGCCGGCAGCAGCAGATGGCGCCGGCCTCGGCTTTGTGCACTTTAGAGTCTTTAGCAGTTGAAAAGGGTTTACGGCAGTCTGGAGGATCGTTCGATCTTGTTTGTGCTTTGGTGTTCTCAGCTTTTCTGGCTTCGGGGAGGAGGGCTGTGGCGGGGAGCGGGATTTGGCGGGATTGCAGCCGTTCTGTTTTTGTTTGTGAGCATCTCGTTACCAGAAAACTTCGTTAGGCTCCACCAGACACCTAAAACGGAACTATAGACGATTCCTTCATACTCCATTCAAAGGCACATGAATAATCACCTAAACCCTGAACCCGCGAGCTTCAACCCCAAAACCTTCACAGGCCGAAGCCTTGAAAGCCAACCTCAAAGCCTTGCAGGGCTAGGATCCAAAACTATGACCCCCGAAACCGAGACAGGCATGGATGAATGGATAAGTACTGGATTCCACCTCAACCATACTGGCATTTGAGACATAGGAAACTGCCTGCAGACGGAAGAGACACAAATGGTTCCTAAAGAATAGAAACCCATCCCAAATCTCTCCTAATTCTTTACCTACGTGGTTTTACCCTGATATGCTCTCAGCGCTATGAAGCCCTGTTAAAATCAGGAAACCACCGAAAACCTGTGAGCCCGAAACCCCAAAGCCAACCTAAACCCTGAACCCGAAAGCCCCCAAAACCTAAATCCCCTAAACACCCTAAACCCTACACTCTAAAAACTCCAAAGACTCTAAACCCTAAGCCCTAAAAGCCTGGCAACCCTAAACCAAAATAACTCTTAGCTGCTAGACCCAAGCAATCGGCCAAGGCGGTGCTTCAGTGTTTGACGAAGCGCCCTGGAATCATTGGCCGTGTGGGCGGGCGGGGGGGGGAAGGGGGTGGATTTCAAGAACGCTTAGATCCATGTCTCGAGTTTGCACAAACTCTGTGTATCTAAGATCCTGCGCGATCTGTCTTCCGTTGAGGTTGTTTGCATGTGGAGCCTCACCTACCAAGAATTGCATGGTTTCACAGTCGTGGTTCCAAAACCCAAAGTCCATAGTCCGAAAACCCTCAATCAAATCCTGAGTAAGCAGCAGTTGAGGAGTTTGGAGGCCGCGAGGTGTAGTTTGGGCCTGTCGACTTGAGGTTGACTTCTCTTCCTTCGAAGCGTGACGCCTGAGTCATGCCTAAGCTGCTTAGCCTAAGCTTCTAGTTCATCCCAGCTTTAGAGCTTATGCGTTTGAAACCTACAATCTTCAGGTGCCGGCTCCAAGACACGCGTCTTGTGGCGGGTCACGTTTGGGCAAGTTCCGCCACCGGTAGTGTAAGCCATGGACAGCATTGCGAGCCCTGCGAACTGAACTCCGTACTCCTACAACTAATAAAAGCCCCGAATCTTAAGACCCGGCATGCCTAAGACCCCTGAAAGCTTTAAGCCCCCGATCAACCCCAAAAATGCTGAAACGCAAAAACATCCGAAACCCTGAACCCTGCATCCCTAACTTAAGTCCATCAGAGAGCAAGGCATATCCGCTTTGCGAGCATGACCAAAGAGTTCTTCGCAGACCGCGCGAGGCTTTCGCGAGTCATCGGTGGATGAGAGCCGCTTCAGCCACTGAAGCGCACCCGAAATTCTGGACCCCTGAAGCGCTTGAGCCCCTACACCCTGAACCCCCCTAAACTCACTAGATCCCCAAAATCCCCTAAACCCCCTAACCCCGTAAATCCCCGAACCCCCTAAACCCCTACACCTGAAGAAGAGCGGCCCAAGAGTCCGAAAACCCCCCCCCAGACCCCAGACTGAGAGCCCCCCAGTCCCATGCAAACTTGCTTGTGGCTCGTGCTCGAGTTTTGTTCACTTACCTTTGGTTAGTAGGGAATGGAAGGGGCCTTATAAGGGATCTATAAGGGTACTATAATATGTAGGCCTTAACAACCTATAACTTACCTTTGGTCAGTAGGGAATGGAAGAATGGTAGTAATAGTAGTTATAATTCTACTAACCAAAGGTAAGTTCAAGGGTCAGCATCACGGGAATGCACCCTCCTGTCAGTTTTCCGTGATTGCATCGGTTTTGTCTGTTCTCCTCGGGCACAGTACTTGCAATGAGTTGAAACAGAAGAGGGTATCGATGGGCATACTTGCTTCGTAGTTTTGTCGGACTTGGGTCGCAACTGTGCCTCCAAATCGCCCCAACGTACCAGGCATGTCCGCATGCCCGTGCTCAGAGCGATTCGAATTGCTCCGCAGGCCTTACCTGAAGCGCGAGGATTGCGAGGCAGTCATGCTGCTTGGCGAAGAAAACCCCTGAACTCAGCAGCCTGTAAGCCCTCAATCATCAAAAAACCCAAGTTTCCCAAACCCGTTAGTTCTCGGCAGGCCTGAAGGATTCGGGTTCGCCGACTTTCTGATCTCCAAAGCCCGAGCTTTGCTGCCAAGCCCCCTAAGCTGGCCATACCTCCGAAACACGACAGGCCCTAAGCACCAACATGTGAGCCTTAAGCCCACTGGAGCGAGCCCCTAAAGGCATCTAAATCCACATGCTTCAGTTGCTTAACTTACCTTTGGTTAGTAGGGAGTGGAGGAATGGGGTACAATTGCAACTACTATTACTGCCATTCTTCCATTCCCTACTAACCAAAGGTAAGTTAAGCTCTGACTTGAGGGGCAGTGCTTGCAACGAACCTTTGGGGTTCAGGCTGTTGCCCTCGTCGCAAACAGCAACCACGCCGCCTCAAAAGCTTGCAACTTTCGGGAAGTCGCAAAAAAGGCGCACCGAATCCCTAAGAATTCATTCCCTCGACTCCGGTTCCGCGGCTAAAACCGTGAATCCGAGTCAAACCTTCCGTGGACTGATTTCAGGAGGCGTTGCTGGGATCGAGGGTTCGGCACAGAAGGCTCGAGTCTTGCAGAGCCGGCTTCAGGATGAATATGCAGTGCTGCATATGGGAGTTTCCGAAAACAGGGGGCCCTAATCTAGGACCCCAAATAGTAGGGTCCTTAGAGTAAGGGCCCCAAAATAAGGTGCCCCTAATTTTCGGAACCTCCCATAGTCTCTTTACTTCCTCCGGATCGTCGTCTCAGCCCTACTTGTGCAGCCGCCGGCCTCACTGCCGAAGGGTCGGGTGAAGGGTCTAGGAGACAAGGCTTCCTCCAGAAGCCGGGAAAGCTAGCCTCCCAAGCCGTCAGCTAAACCCTGCAGTTCCAAATTACAAAGAAAGCCCATACCTCAGTTTTTCATCAGCACACTCAAACCTCAGACCTCGGACCTTGTTTGAGAGCCCTAACCCTACAATTTTGCAAACCGAGCTGAGGATGTACTTCCTCCTCGGCCGGGTCCCGCCCCAGCAGCTGACATCCCGGAGATCGGGTCTGAGCCCGGTGGAGCAGATCTATCCCATCGAGGCCTCAAACTCCCCAAGCCCTACGCCCCAAACTGACGGGGCTCAACGTAGCCCTAGGGTGTAAAGAAGCCTTCCGCCCTTCGCATCAGGATTTAGGGTGTCGACCATGTAGTTTTCGGGGCAAAGGGCTATTTTATAGCTTTCAGGGTTAATGACTTGTAGCTTTCAGGTTCAAACGCCTTTCTTCCTGCGCTTGTAGGTAGGTTTATATGGGCTGCGGGTCTCCTTTGTACTGATTTAGATTGACCTCAGGCCGCCAGGCAGTGAAAGAATGCGCCGTGTTGTCGGCCCATACTAGCATACTAGCAGCTGCGGTCAGACCCTTCCCGTGCCTTTGCCGACTTTTTTGAGTTGAGGGCGGGAAAATGTGAAGTGTGAACCCTTGAACCCTCCAGCCCATCAAAGCCCTACCCAAGATTCACCAAGCCCCTTCGCGCTGCAAGCGCCGCAGACAGATTTAGACTAGCCCCTCTTTGACAATGAATAACAGTCAGCCCTCTATCGACGAACCCTTAACAGCAGCCACCTGCAGGTGACTTCCGTGGGAATGCCAGAGGGCACGGAGTTTCCCGGCCTACATCTGGGTGGTTGTTGTAGCTGATACCGGGCCTCTCTTAACAAGGGCCCTTGAAAGCCTCTCCCTCTCCCTCTCCCTCTCCCTCTCCTCCTCCTCTCTCTCTCTCTCTCTCTCTCTCTCTCTCTCTCTCTCTCTCTCTCTCTCTCTCTCTCTCTCTCTCTCTCTCTCTTACACCTCCTAACTTGAAGCCCTATTTTGAACCCCAAGGTCCTGATCCCTTCAACCCCCACGCCAAAGAGAGGCATTTGGCCGTGGGGCGTGGCTCCTGGAAGCTCCCATATACCCAGCCGGCGGCCAACCGAACGCTGTCCGTGCAGCTACTGGAGCTTGAGTTTAAGGGGGTTGGGTTGTCTAAGGGTTTTGGAGCTTGAGTTTAGGGTGCTTAGGGTCTTTTGTGAAGTCTTGATGTAGACATGTCAGAACCCTGAATTAGCGGTCCCTCTTTCAGGGATTGTAAGGGGTCCTTCTTTGTTTTAGGATGCTGTATCTTGAAACTCTTGAGCATGAAGTATGACCTAGTTCAGAGGTCTAGATGACAGATTCTGAAGGGATCCTTGGCACTCACTTCAGTATTGGCTGCAATCATGCTTCTGAACGCTCCTGCACATCTTCCCTACTTTGCGGCGTAAAGCATGTTACGATGCGACACTAGATCTGCTTGGGCTTGTATAGATTTCCAGGGCCCTGCATACCTAAATACGAAATCCTGCTCTGATTATCCGAAATCCTAAGAATCCTAAGTGGGAGTTTTCGAAAATAGGGGACCCTACTGTAGTATCCTAAATAGTAGGATCCTTATTATAGGGACCTCAAAATAAGGTACCCCTAATTTTCGGAAACTCCCAAGTTTTACAGTTCCTAAGCCCTAGATCCGAACCCCCAAAGCTGAGGCTCTTGCAGCCGATAAACGAGCCTTGCCCGATGTCAGCTGGGTTCGAGGATTCAGGGATAAAGGGAACTCCAGAAAGTTGGAATATGGTTTCAGGGTAGGATACCTTATAATTTACCATAAGGGGTTTAGGATAATCATATTCCAACTTTCTGGCTTTTACTGTACTCCCTCCCCGGCAAAGATCGATCCTTTCACGCGCAAGTCTCTGCATGATTCCGTGCCATGTGCGCCGCGATTTTGCTGCATATAGCCATCAGAACACCTGTTGTGCTGCACAGCTAGCCATCCGGCAACGTCAGATTTTGTGAAGCCTCCGCACCTCGTCTCTTTTGTGCACCACCATTTTGATTATGTGCAGGCCTGGTTCTACACTGCAAGACGCTGTCTCTGTCAGGTGTTGGGTTTACTGTAATCCGACCGTTGAGGAGCGACCCTTGAAACCCCAAACCCTCCGTCCATGACCGGACACTGCTCAGGTGACGAAGGTCACACTTTCTTTTGGAGAGGGAGCGCCTCGCCTTTGTTTTGCTTGCGTACGAAGCTTTTGGTTTAAGGGGCCAGGGTTCGGATTTCATTCAAAGGCTTCGCAGCATTGAGAGCGAATCGGAAACCTTGCAAGAAAACTTATGGCGCCCACGTGAGGCAGATGAAAGCGTGTTCATTTGTAAAGACAGAGCATTTGTGCTCTCGTGACACCGGATACTGTGTTGTAGACACTAAGCCGCACTAAGACTTACAGTAGAAGCCCAAAAGTTGGAAACCCTGTAGCCTCAATCCTTAAGACTAATGTATAAGGAAACCCAGCACTATTTGGCCTTAACTACATTTCCAACTTTATATGGGGTTTACTTTACACCCGAAGTACCAGAAGCACTGTCAAGATCATGCCCAGGCTGGCAGCGAAAGGGAGGAGAGGCTCCGTGCCTTCAGCCTCCGGGTAAGCTAGGTCTATGTCCCTTGCACAGCCATCGAATCCCAAGCTCGTTTGTAGCTATCCCCATGGAACACACAAAATCCCTCCACACATGGAATCCTGGAAGGCTTCAGCCAGAGATCCTGCAAATCCGATTCCCACTCCCGAAAAGTTTCGACCTTTTACGTTCAGTGACGGTCGTTCTGTGCCTACACCCCATGTGAGCAAAGGCCATGTGGTCGTGGAAGATCAAGTTTGCGAATTCAGAAATCGCCAGTGGCTCGGGCGTCATAGCAGAGGGCCGGCAACCCGAGGCCCAAGCCCGTAAGCTCCTCAACCCAAATTCCAACTAACTTGTGCGGCCCATAGGGCTGACATAGGCCAAGCTTGAGTTTTGTGGGCTTTGTGGGGAGGTTCTTGATCGACGTGTTAAGGGGAGGTTCTTGATCGACGTGTTAAGTGTCAAAGACAACAGCCTTGAAATGCCTGTGGGCTGCGGGCGGATCCATGTCCTCACCACGGCAATATAGGGGCTTAAATAATTACAACTATTATGGTGGGGGGTTCCGGATTGTAAGTAGAGTATAATGGGCCCCAAAGCGTAATTCTAGTTAATTATTAAGGCCACTCTATGATATACTTATGCCTTAAAGTAGTCCCTATATTGGCATTTGGGTACATGGATCTTTTGGGCCTGAAGTCCCAGACCGCAAGCCCCGGGAAAACCAAGGTTTCCTGGAGCCACGATCCCCTGAACGCCAGAAAACTGGGGAAGGGTTCTGAGTTTAGGGTTTTCGGGTTGAGGGTTCTGAGTTTAATTAGGGTTTTGGGGTTTAGGGTTCTGAGTTTAAAGTTTAGATAGGGTTTTGGGGTTTAGGGTTCTGAGTTTAGGGTTTATAGGGGTTTGGGGTTCTGAGTTTAGGGTTTTGGGGTTTAGGGTTCCTGAGTTTAGATAGGGTTTTGGGGTTTAGGGTTCTGAGTTTAGGTGTTTTGGGGTTTAGGGTTCTGAGTTTAGGGTTTAGGGGTTTAGGGTTCTGAGATTAGGGTTTTTGGGGTTTAAGGTTCTGAGTTTAGGTTAGGGGTTTAGGGTTCTGAGTTTAGGGTTTAGGGGTTTAGGGTTTGAGTATCAGTCAACAACCCAATGCCCTAAATCGCTGCAGCTTTGCGGCTACCTAAATCCCTGCCTCTTCGCACGTTCGCTTTTCTTACCCTAGGCGTCGCGTAAAAATATTCAAGCGATGACTCATCTTGACAAAAAGCTCCGCGATATATGCTGGTTCTGACAGGCGTTAAGCCTCCTGCAAGCTTCAGCCAGCGTCTAGTCTGGCCGAATCGTTACTAGAAGGTTCAGTACGGAACATCTCCTGCACGGCTGACCCGTGAACCCAAACATGAAGTCCCTACTACTCGAGCCCCCTACCGCAAGCCTGAACCCTACATCCTAAGCCCTACACTCTACACGGTCCCAAGCAACAAGCCTGAACACTCTGCAACTTAGATGCAATCCATGGCTCTGGCCGCATCCGCACCATGAGCGTGAACTTCACCCAGTGCACGCAGCTGACTATTCTTCCGATTTCTGAGAGGCGGAGTTTGAGGGTTTGCTGAGGTTGAGTTGAAATGCTGGTCATCCAACGCACCGTAGTCAGTCTGACAGCGCAAGTGTAGGATTGTAGATGTCTGCAGGATGTCGTGTGTATGTAGCTTGGTTGGCAGCTTTCGGCTTAGAGGTAGTGGTTGCCAAAGAATACCTCGAGGGCGGAAACAGCTTGAGGTGTGGTATCGCGCATATTAGAGCGGTCGCACACTCGTGAAAGTCATGATGGTTGAGGGCAGACGGTCTGCCGAACAGCAGGTTGGTGTGAAAGGCGGGTTCTCAGTTCAGTTCTCAGCATGTAGGATTCGGCGGGATTTCTCGTGAATCAGTCGCCTTTGTGATGTCCCAAACGTCTCTCTAACCCAACCCATATCCCTGACCGGATCACCGCACCGTGGAAGCCAGGAACGAAGGCGAAGGGGGGAGGTAGGAGGGGCGGGGGGGGCTCCCAGCTTAGGGTTGAAGCTACAGTACAAATTGAGGTTTAAGGCCTCTGTAAAAGCTTTGGGTTTATTGGATCCCTAAGCCCTAAACATCCCTAAACGCCCTAAACCAGAGCCTGCGCGTCTTGCAGGGACCGGCTCACTTCAGTGAACCATGGCCTCCCTCTGTCGGGGGAGCATGCGGTGCTGGTCAAAGTCGAGGCTCGCACGGCTTGGCAATACTGAAACCTATATGGGAGTTTCCGAAAGTTAGGGATACCTTATTTTGGGGTCCTATAATAAGGATCCTACTATATAGGGTCCTATATCAGGGCCCCCTATTTTCGGAAACTCCCATATAGAACCAGGTCCGTAGGGCTTATGCTGCTTAGAAGGTTTCGGGGTGAGGCAGGGAGCTTGCCTTTGATCGGCTGTCAGCCCCGAAACTCTCGAGATCGCGGGTTCGAGAGCGAGCTTATGATGTGTGTATATATATATGTATATATATATATATATATATATATATATGTATATACACATACATGTATATGTTGATCAGTCGCCAAGAGGTTTTCTACCATAATGCAGTTGGGCACCAACGACCCTCCTTGCTCGCTCTGCCAGGTGACCGGCAAGAAGTCTCGAGCGGAACATGCCGCGGAGGTGGTCCAGCGGCTGTCCCAGGCCCAACTCAAGAAGTCAGGTTTCGTGCATGATGGCAAGGGCTTGGTTCAATAAGCAAGCGGCTTCCCATGAACGATTTGCGGTCTTCGGGTGCTTGTTTCAATGAGGCACCCTCGAAAGGGGTGCCTCAACCTGAGAGCCTAGTCTTCTTGAGCCGAGCCTTGCAAGCTCTACATACTTTCCGGAGCACCTGGCTAGTCAGACAGGACCTCGTGGCGCCGGCACCAAACGAAGTGAGTGGAGAATTCAAGGAGGGTGCGACCGCGTAGTGCGGAGCCGAGCTAATTAGAGCAAGAATCCGGTGGGGCGAGGGCACGGTGAGCAAGGGGGAAGCGGGGATTCATGACAGCGTGCCCGTTGTTGCTGTAGACAGCATTATATAAAACCTTACAAATTCCAAAATCAACAATTCACTTCACCCCTCGCTCACGCGAGCTTTGCATCCGAAATTCCAGAGTGACAGCCTGCATTCTCGAGCTTGCGATGTCTAGATATTTCATGGATCAGGATAGCATGGCTGAAATTCCCTTTCGACGGATGTCTCAGTAGAAACCCCATTGATGCCCTCAGCACCCAAAACAACACCACTAGCCGCTAAACCGCTAAAACCTATAACTTATGCGTTGCAGGGTTTAGGGAGCCTGTGACGCTAGCTTTTCGTTGTTTTTTTGGGGCTTGCAACCCTGATGGCAGGCACTTGAGGCTTGCATCCCAGCACCTGAGCCCAAGATTTTCAATGCCCAAGGCTCTTTAGTTTCGGGTGCGGGGTTTCGGACATTTTTTCGTCTAGAGTGCTAGTCATCCATGTTGAGCTTGCCTGTGCTCCTAAACTCAAGACAGCGACTGTTTTGAGGAAATGCAAGAGCCCGAAGCCAGGCCCAGTCAGTCGGGGAGATGCTGAGGACGAGAGAAACGCGAGCGGGCAGGGTTGGTGGACCACTCTTTGTGGGTCCAGCTTTAGGGTTAGAGTGGTTTACGTGAAACTCCTGCCGCAAACCGTCTTCGTGGGTGGTGGCCTTATCATATGTGCTGGACTGTCTCTCAGATTGAAGAATGCAAACGAGAATCGGGTCTCTTATTTCGGGTTCATGCGTTGCCTAACTTGATTACGTAGGGTAGATGGTTTATAGCTATCGCAGACCTGTTGCAAAACCCCACCCCCCGCACATGTATAGAGTGCTTTGCTCTTGCCAAGACCGCTTCCATAGAGGGTGTCTCCGTCTGTGCCGGACCGGCGTGGGGAAGTGGGTGTGCGGCTTTCTCTTTCAACAGCGATCTCAGTTCAGGCTCGGTGCAAAATCCTAGTTACTGCTAGTCGAACTGCTCAGAAACTCCGTATTAGAGCTCAAGACCCTCCAAGAACGTAGCCCAGGCCGATGACGACGACTTGGAGGCAAATAAGACTCCTTGGTGGCTTCGCTTGGCTAACGGTTTTCCGATCGGGTCCAGGGCTTCGGACCTAGGGCTCACGGTAAGGTTGAGGTTTCGGATCGTAGTCCTAAACCCGAGGCATCCAGTTGAGCCTCTCGCTTCTTCGCTGCCTTACACAGCATGTCCAAGATCCGCTGGCTAGAGCCGCACGGCTGGAGTGCACAAGGCAGCTCAACATGCGACAAGAACAAGCTGAAACGCAACCAACCTGCATTGATCCTGACTTCCACTTCCTTAATAATGGTTTGCCCTTAACCTAGTACAGCTTTCCTCCGTCTGGCGTTGCAAGCAGAGCCTCTACCCAAAAGCTAACAGCTATAGAGCTTCTGAGCTTCGAGCTGCGCATTCCGAGGGTATTGAGATGCTTCCAGGTGGGGCCTACCACCTACTGCGCCAAATCCAAAATGTATAACCACAAACCACCAGAGACATTGCGGCTCCTGTGCTCTTGTTGTGCAGGCGAGGCTTCGCAAGCTGCGGGAGTGAAGAGCACACGGCCGTCTCACTGTCTTCTGCTTTGGGTACAGAGCTTCCGTGGTTCAGGATGGTGGGGGCAAGGCCAAGCGTGCATATGGGGGCACAGGCTCCAGGACTGCCGAGTTGCCGAGTAATTTTGCCTATGTATTGAGGTTTAGGGCTCAGCGAGTTCCTCAAAAAAAACCCAAGGCAGAGAGGACGTCCTGACAAGAAGTTCAGGAAAACGAGCTCGCTTAAGGTTCATCGGTGTCCGCAGGGTCGCGCTGCAGGTTCCGAAGCACACGTTAAATGTCATGACTGCTGTGTTTTGAAGATGTGTCAGCCAGCTGAGGCTTCAAGCTCTTTCTTTCAGAGCGTAACATGCTAGTTGCTGGTCCTTCTTGCTCTCCAAATTCTGCTTTCTGAGTCTCGACGTCCCCGTTGGGGATCCTTGTTTGGGGAATCCTTTAAGCTGGCACACACGCTAGCGCAGACACACACACACACACACACACACACACACACACACACACACACACACACACACACACACACACACACACACACACACACACACACACACACACACACACACACACACACACACACACACACACACCACCACACACACACACACACACACACACACACACACACACACACACACACACACACACACACACACACACACACACACACACACACACACACACACACACACACACACACACACACACACACACACACACAACCTGAAATCACTTCCGGAGGAGCATTTCTTCGGCATCCCGTTCCTGTTCGACTCATCGCAAGACCGCACCACTGTCAACACCATTGCACCGAGCCGCTACACTCACCGCCGCACCACATTATCGCACACCGAGTTGCTATCGGTGCCTGTCGCCGCCGTCCGATCATACAGATCCACCGCATATGCGTGTAAACAGTCTACATTTGCTTGCTTGTATATTCCGGCCCTGCAGGAAATTCGGTCTCTTTTTCTGTTGATTGTTCTTTGATTTTGTTCTGATTGCTTCTGTCATCTGCCTTGTGAGCGATAAGAGTGTACATGCGGAGGCATGAGGAACATCAAGATCGCAAGAAGTGACATTGTGACTGCAAAGCCGATTGTTCCAAGTGCGAGTGATTGCTGATTGTGAACGATTCGGTTTCGCGCTTGCTTCGCAAATGATTTGATGTCTTGTGATTTGAAGTTGACCCTCGGCTGCAGTTAGGATCTGTGACTTTGGCAAACGGCGCAACCCCAATGAGACGAATGTAGAACGAACAACATGTCAACCGGTGATTCTAGCAACCAGCTGAACGCAACCCCGCCCCAAACTATGGCAGGAGATACCGAAGTCTCGAAGATAGGAGACCCTAATATTGCACCCTAAATAGCAGGATCCTCATTTTCAGGATCCCAAAGACAAGGTACCCTAATTTTCGGAAACTCCCAGATCTGCCATCATCAGAAACCCGCTTTCCGGCATAAAGCCCGGGCCAAAAAGCACTTTTCATGATAGAGCGGGGTTTTCGTAGACCGAACTCGTATTTACCAAAGCCTAATCCCCTTTTGTAAGTAACCCCGTGCCAACGGCTTGTTTAGGAAAGGGAAAGTCTGCAAGCTCCTGATGTTTTGTCAACAGCTGTAGCGGTTCGAGCCAAAGCACATTGGAAGCCACCGTGCCCCTGCTACGCTTTGAACTATTGTTGAAGAAGCCTCCCGGATCCCAGCGTCACAAGACACCAAAGCGAGCCAAGCTCTGACTCCAAAACTAAGCCCCAAACGGTGAAACCGTGTTCACCGTGAAATCCTCATGGAATCCTTTGGCCCTAAAATCACTGAGCCGCAACACGCTACAGTCCGATTCATGACTCCCGAAACCCTCACGCGAAACACATTATAAACCTCAGAAGCCCAAACCTTGACCCAAGATCCTTAAACCCGAAAACTCTATCTCGACATCGTGCTTTGGAACCTTTCGCCGCCATCACTTTTGTTGCGTGTGCTGGAGCCGAGAAGAGTCGTTCAGGCCGGGTTTGGGGGGTTGGGGACGAGGGTTTAGGTAAAGGTCTCCAATTCAGGGTTGGCTTTCGGGTTTGGGGCTTGGCTATGAGGCTTGGGGTCTTCAGTTTTCGGTTTTAGAAACACCCGCTTAATCAGATCCGGAGATCCCCCGAGTGACGTTTGGCACATTCCGCAAACGCCTCGAAGTCCGTTGGACAGTCAGGCTAAACCTGTATGGGAGTTTCCGAAAATAGGGGACCCTGATATAGCACCCTAAATAGTAAGCCCCAAGATAAGGTACCCCTTTTTTTCGGAAATCCCCGTATGTTCAATCCATTGGCAAACTCTGAAAACCCTAGCCGGAACTGCCAAAGCCAATGCTCTGTGGCGCAGAACCTGGCGTTCTGTTTTACGCGTTCAATGTACCCTACCCGCCTAGATGCTGTATCTGAAACCCTGCACCCCAACTCCTCCCAAAGTCCTGCAAAAACGGTGCAAGCCGCCTAAACCCAAACGCGCTATATAGGAGGCTTTTGCGGAGCATGGGCAGGATTCTCAGACATCCTCAGACCGACAGCCTTGGCTTCAAGTCTTGTTGAGCGTTTTTGAGCTTCTGGTGCAGAGTTCAGCGTTCCCATTCTCTTGAGTCCATCAAGGCTCGACTTGTCAAGCCCGCAGCCCTACAGACTTAAAGTTACAGTACTAACTATCAGACTTATTATTACTAACCTATCACTAGTTATTATTACGAACTCTCATGAATTATTATTACTAACTATCAGCCTTTCAGAGTCAAGCGTCCCAGAATAGCCTGACCCTCGAAGCCTGCTGCAAAACGTAAGCTCGGGGCCTGAAACCTCAAAGCCTCCAAACCTGAATCTTTAAATGCCAAAGCGCTGCACAGCGCACGTCCCAAACCACCCAAACCAGAACACATGCCAACCCAAAAGGTGCACATACCGGGGTGTGTATGAACTTATTTGATGGAGCCTTGTTTAGGGGTCCTTCCAACTTCCGACCTTCCAAAGGATCCTACTGTTCAGATAAAAATAAAACATTCTCACACCCGCTTCTACCATTTTGTTCGATGCATGTAGACCAACCAAGCTTTCAGCAGAACGGGGCCCAGGTTGCTGCGGTTCTTCTGCGAAGCAGAAGTCCAAGGCATTGGTTCAGGGTCTTTCAGTGTTTGAGAGTTCCGGCTTTTGGGTTTCAGGAAGTTGTTCAGGCTTCATAGCAAGGGCTTTATATCAACCGAAATTTCAATGCCCCGATCGAAGCCTCAAATGTGAAGGTTGCTTAACTATCGCTCTATGGCCCTACAGGTTCGCAGGGCTCGAGCTGGATTAAGAGGGCCCTCTGCTTGAGAAC